ATTCTGAGTGCAGAGGTCCAGTATTTCATTTCACTACTTGGCATAGATATTTCATAATAAGCAAGTGCACTTCCCTCATCTACATTCTGATTTGGTTGGTCTGAGTTGAAATCAATATTGTTTTAAAGTTCTCCAGGTGACTCCGCTGTGCAACCAGAATTCAGAACTTCTGCTGTCGGGGATATGGTGATGGCATAAAGGGTAGATGATTAATAGTCCTGGGGCATGAGGATTGGAAGAGGCTTCAATGAGCTTAACTGGAGATTGGAAAACAACGAGGGGTGAGGGAAGGACAGGACATAAGAGACAGAGGAGCTTCAGGAACTGGGAGCTGCTGGGCCAGGGTGGGAGAGGAGCCAGACTGTTAGGAAAGAAGGGGCCATGTCAGCCTTGAATGTCATGCCTGAAGAATGTGGAATTGATCCTTTAGGCAATAGGGAGACATGGAAGGCTTAAAAATTATTTTTGCATTCATCATTTTTAATAAGCCCCCTCGAGGCTTTCACGAGCCACTCACTTGAAGAAAATCTACCCTAGTGGATATGTAGGATTTATGTGAGGCTAGTGTTTGTCTGAGCTATGGTGCTACGTGGGGGAGCACCTAACAATCCCCTTTGTCTACAAGGCAGAAAGAACCAGTGTTCATTTGGAAACATTTAGTAGTTATGAGAGGCTTGTGCTATATTTTCAAAATGCCAAAAATCCCTTGAGGACAGACATCTCTGAATGGGGGGAGGCCACATCTGCAGCCTTGCTTTCTCCACCTCTGCCTGATATAAAGCCTCAGCCATTTGTCAGTGATGTGGGTTGATCTGGTGAGGATGGAAAAAGGAAGGCTGGTACGAGGGGCCTTTACAATGGGGAGGTGGCCTCAGCCTGCATGTAAAAGTTTATACAGATCGTATTCCTTTGGACTAAGCCCATAACACTGCATTTCCTGTTGCCATGACATCAGTGGTCACTGTTACAAACCCGAGGATTCTGTGAAGAAAGGGAATGAGCCAGAGAGGATAGTGGTTTTTCTTATTTCCCTTCTTGTTCCAGTTCTTTCATTCTTTTATCTCAAGGAAATGCCTGAAGAAAAGTGCAAGTCAATCAGGCAAGGAAGGCAGGGAAAATTTTGCTTTTTCTCAGTATCTTGGCTCCTAAGAATACACCAGACTCCTTGAAGATGTGCTTAGAATCTGAGTCAAGTTGTCTGGACTGGACACGGTTGATTGCCTGGCAGAGTGCCTGCTGGCTGGCGTCCTCCTTCCTAACACAACCCCAACTTGTTAAAGGGAGTGCATGCCACCAGACGGCTCCAAGGAAGCCGGTCCATCCCCAGCTTCTGCTGTGGATCCGACTCCAAGTCTATGCCAAGGACGATTCCATATATGTATATATTCCACCTTGCTGGTGATTGCTTCAGGACTGTAAGCTTGAGCCCATCAGCACAGGGCCCTCGCCAGTTGACCATTGACTACTCAAGGGGTGGGCTGTGTCCCAGGTTGAATCAGACCAATATAAAGGGGAAACTTAAATTCTTTGTTTTTCAGGATAAGGTTCTCTTGTTGGAAATTAATAAGGGGATGGGTTGTTACCAGTATGCTGGCAGCCATGTTGTGACCATGAGGCAAGGTAGACTGAGGGAAAAGCCAGCACCAAACGGAAGAAGGCAGCCAAAGGAATCAGAGAAATGGAGCTGGGTCTCTGTCTCGTGCCTGGAGGCTGGGCCCACCCCTGGACTACCTATTCTGTGAGATAACAAATTTCCCTTTTTGGGGCGCTTACGGCTGAAAGATTATTCCTGACTGCTTTCTAACTCACCGTGCCTGGCCATCCAGTGAATTCAACTAGGGAAGACTGTAATGATATAGGTTTATGTCAGAATCTGCAGAGGGTTTTCTCAACAATTCTCTCATCCAAACCACCTAATATCCTCCGGAGGCAGATGTAGATATTGTCTACATTATCATTCCTATAATTCAGGGCAGTGAAGTGACTTGCCTGAGATCACACAGCTCATATCCAAGAACCGTGGCAGCCACTGAGAAAGAAAAACATGGTCTGTATGCCTGGGATGCTCTGGGTAGAAAAATGGGAGAAGGAGACCCTGAAATCATGCTGTCAGAATGTCCCTGTGGAGTTCTTGATGTACTTGTGACCATGGTTCACGACAAGGGGTGATTTTGCCTCCCAGGGAAGACTTGTCAAAGTTTGAAGACCATTTCTGGTTGTCACAACCTGGGGTGGAGATGCTATTGGCATCTAGCAGGTAGAGACCAGGGATGCTGCTAAAGATCCTACAGCATGCAGGACAACCTCCACAACAAAGAATTATTCAGGGACTTCCTAGGTGGCCCAGTGGTTAAGAATTCACTTTGCAACGCAGGAGATGCAGGTTTGATCCCTGGTTGGAGAACTAAGATCCTACCTGCCGCAGAGCAGCTAAGCCCATGAGCTGCAACTACCGAGCCCTCACAGCACAATAAAAGATCCCACGTGACACAATTGAGACCCCACACAGCCAAATAAATAACCACTAAAAAAGAATCGTTCAGCCCGACATGCCAATGGTGTCAGCGTTGAGAAACTCTGATTTAAAACAACGTTCATTTTTTCAGTGTATGTATCAGAATCTTACTGATGTTCCAATCTAGGAATTTTCCATAAATATTATAGGTAATTTTTTTTGATGGTTAAAGTGTATACTACTCAAGATCCCTTTTCCAAGATCATTTTTGATCACTATATCATTAAGGGAAAATCCTAAAGCAACGATATTCACCCCTGGGAAGCTGAGTGGATTAAAAGGCTCTTATGCATGTGTTCGATAATTGATATATGCCTATGCCATGAGATTCGTTGATCCATGTGGCATGTTTGTACATGTCACAGAACCAAAAAAGGAAAGCCCGTCCTGGTGCGTGTGTTTCAGAGCATCATTTTGTACCTCGTTAAGAGCCTGACATATGGTAATGCTTACCACATCCACAAAGGCTTCGACCAATAGTGATTTCCAGTGAGGTTGCAAACAGTAATTACGTTTCTGAAGTGGTAGTTTAGATCTTATATTGCCAGTGGGAAAAAATACTAGCTTGCAGGCATGCCCCCAAATGAGCTCTAAAGAACTCCTTCCAAGAGTTATTTATCCTCCGTAATGGAAGGGGGCAGGAAGAGCAGTAAATCTGGAGGGGGACAGGCAGAGGGCCTCAGTAAAAGGCCAGGTGGACCATGACTGCTCTTTGTAGTTACTCTGGAAACCGTTCTCGCTTTAAATGGTTCTCATGGAAGCTCTGGAAGACGAGTTTCTCTCATCAGCAGCATCTTTACCTAATACATTTGACACTGGATTAGCTTTCTTCCTCCCGGCAAGTTCTCTCCCCTGGGCTCTGAGGTTTGTGGTTGCCAAGGGGCTGTCCACTGTTGAATCTGGAGCTGGGTATTTGGTTCAGTCCAACCGGGATCCCCAGGGCCTTAACTGGCCCAAATGCTCTGTGCTTTTTTGGTCTGCCTTCAATTCTGAGGCCCAGAAAAACATTTTTGGGTCTGGCACAGCCTTCCAGCTGAGGTAGGAAGATGAGGGTATGTCTGCAAGGTCTGTAGTGTTTTGCTGTCGGCCTCTTCGCAAAGAGTAGGTTAGTCTCAGATGACAGGGTCCAGCTCTCTGGCTGTGACCATGAGGCAGGCATGGGGCTGCGGGTCCCAGTGCATTCCTGGGACCCGCTGGAATTCCCCAACCAGAGGCTTGGGGAGAGTGGGGGGTGTGGAGGAGGACTGAAACTGAGGCTGAGCTATTGATGGCTCTGAAGGATTAAGTCCCAGACATTGGTGGGGACCAGCAGAAGAGAGAGAGTCATTTAGAAGCAGGAGACCCAGCTATCCAATGGGAGCCATGTGGCCTCGTGCTCCAGAGGTCCCCTGGGCTCATTCCCAGCTCTGTCCACTGTGGCTGAGCTGTCTGGTGGCCTGGCTGTGGGATTGGTCCTTTGTTCCTCTTGAAGGAAAGTTTTGGCAGCTTATAGTCCACTCAAATAATAACAATCATATCATTTGTTGAATGCTCACCATATGTTATACATTGCACCCGTGTGATCTTATTTATTACTGTGATCCCATCAGGTCACTACTATTGTACCCATTTTTCAGGGTAGGAAATTGAGGCTCAGAAAACTTTAGCAAGCAATCAAACTTTAGTAAGCTGTAATTAAGTTATGGAATAAGTATGTAATAGAATCCAGGCCTCAAACACTTAACCCCACTCCCTACCATGTTACCATCAAAAGATGGTTTTCCTTTCCTTTTTGTCTTGATGCATCTATCCTAGGCTTTTTGAAAATGTTCTGTGGACAATAGCTTAGAGGCATACTGTGAAATACATAGATTTGTGGCAAAATAGTCTTACTTATGAGGATTAAGAGATTTTTTTGTTGTTTGAGAGTCATATTTGGACCTGAACTCACACACAGCTTTCTCCTTCTCACAAATGTTATTTAGAGTAAAGTGATGCACCAGGCCTATTTTTAAGTTTAACCAGGCATAACACACCCATCTAAATAAACATTTGAGAGTATTGTCGTTGGCTGCGTAGTGGGATGTTAAAACGGGATGAGCCGCTGTCTAAGTTCCAGCTGAAGCCAAGTGCCAACTACTTCCCTGCTCCTGAGCGGTCTCCTGCAGCTTCTCTTGCCATTGCCTGAGAGGATGGAAGTGGGGGACCACTGGCTCCCTTTCTGCACCCGGGGAGGCAGAGGAGGAGGGGACATGCCAACAACGATTCCTAAAGAAACCCTGCTCTCTAATCTCCAGCTACACTCTTGGCTTCTACAACCACCTGTGTTGTATCTGGAGCGGGACGGATAGCCAGGATCCTGGTTTTTGGTTACGTCCTTTGGAAGGCCAGCTCGGATGCCCAGTGACCAGTTGAAATGACTGAGTAGTTGTGTCCTGTGGACTTGAGGGCACAGTGGACTCCTGATTAAGACAAAGAGGGAATAGTTCATGGCAAACAAGACTACCTGTGTCAGAGTCAGCCGGGGGTGGCTCTTGGTGCCTCCTAAGCCGGGTCCAGGGAGGGCTTGGGAAAGGGCAGGAGAAAGCCACTGGACATTGCTCACCAGCTGCCCAGTGGCTGGGGGAGGAACTGTAAGCCCGCAGCCAGAGCAAACTCAAATGAAATAACATCTGGGAACCACAGGCAAGGCGTCACTAGCAAAGTCAGGGGCATTTTCAAAGAACCCATAGAAGTGCTCCCATGGGGACAAGAAACAGTGGTACATGCCTGCCAAGCCCAGGGAACCTGGATGCCAACTCAGAACAGTGCCAACCAGTGAGGCCCTCTGTCACCTTTATCTTTCCTCTCTGCCCTCTTCAACTCTGGAACTGAAAAAGCTACCATTAGCAGTTAAGGGGAAGAGTGGTAAAGATGCAATGCAGAGAAAGAAAATGCAAGCCTGCCTTTTCCCATTGCAGAAAGCAAGCCTGGAACGGGGGATGAAATTGTGAATGCCGTTTGCAAGTTTTTAAGAATTACCTAAGTATCACTTCCACATTAATGACTGAACTGAGATTGTTGGCAGGTGTAATGTGAGCAAGCTCTTTTAAAACACTCTGAGCATGGGACCTACTCAGATTTCTTCCAGGGCAGAAGCAGGAACTGTCCATAGATGGTGTGTGAGTGGGCATTTGGGGGTGTCTGGGTAAAATCTGGGAGCATTAGGATGGTACCCTCTGTGTCTGCTTTCCAAAGGACACCCTGGATCTCACCTCTTTTCTTCCTCTACCAGCTTGCTCCCAAGTGTGGTCCAACCTCAGGGCCTTTGCACTTACTCTTCCCCCCTAAGAATCCAGAAAGGTTGCTCCCTCGCTTCCTTCACCTCTTTCTCAGTTTAAATGTCCCTTTACAGACATTTATTGAACCACACATTGCAAATCATCACTGCTCTGTCCAGCCCCCTTATCCCACTACCTGAAGTTTTTTTCACAGCCCATATCACCATCACACTTAGACCTCTTATGTCTATTTGCCCAGGTTGGCAGCTCTAGGAGAATGGAGACTATTTTGTTCACTGTTCCCAAGCACATCGAATTGTAGATGGTACATGGCAGTAATCCAATAAATATTTGTTTTGCTGTCATTGAATAGCTCTGCTTCCCCAGATTCCTTTTATTGTTCAGAGTACAGATCTATTCACCGTATTCTAAAAGTGAATCTGGTCTGGGCAAGTTGACTTGTACCTTTATGTCCCAAGCATGTTTTCTCTGTCTGGGATATAAAGGGGCCCAGAGGACGGATTCACTTCTCACTGAGATGCCAGTGACCTGATCCCTTGGAAACTGTACATTGGATGCCCCCAAATGAATAGTACCCCCCCTTTTATTTCTGAGAAGAAAAAAATGCAGACATAGAATTCCTTCTCCCCATAGCCCGAAGGGTGATTTTTATGAATTTTTACCACATGTCCACACAAAACGTTAGCCTTTCTCTCACTGTGGGAAAGAATTTGAGCAATTTTTACTAGAGTCTTGTCAAGGTAGAGACCCTTATCAGGGAAAATGATTTTCTGAAGCCGCCTGAATTGTAAGGCAGTCCGATTCTTTCTTGATATTGATTTTTAAAAAAAAATTGGAGTATAGTTGCTTTACACTGCTATGTCAGTTTCTGCTGTATTGCAAAGTGAATCAGCCATATATATACATCTTCCCTCTTTTTCGGATTTCCTTCCCATTTAGGTCATTACAGATCCCCGAATCGAGTTCCCTGTGCTATACTATAAGTTCTCTTTAGTTATCTATTTTATAAGTAGACGTGCATATATGCCGATCCCAGCCTCCCAATTCATTCCCGTTGCCTTTGCCTTTTGGTGTCCATATGTTTATTCTCTGTGTCTCTATTTCTGTTTTGCAAATAAGATCTCCTATGCTGTTTTTCTAGATTATACATATGTGTGTTAATAACTGGTACTTTGGTTCTTTCTGTGACTCGTCACCAGTTTAACCCTAGAATGGAGATGAAGGGTACCTTTTGGGAACTGGCCACTCAAAGACCTTGATAATGAGGCCCTGCTCCTTGGCCTTGCCCCCTGACAGTCTTCCCAACACACCAGAAAAGTGATTCTTAAGTCAGAAAATTATTCAAGAGTGACGGAAATAAAAACCCTCTCTTCCTAACAGCTCTCCCCTGTGACTTCCTCACCTCCACTCCGTTCCATCAGTATTACTGGGAAGTCTATGTTTACAAAGAGGAATGATTTTCTTAGAAATTTGACGTGGCTTGAAAATTGTATTTTTAGGGATGGCAAAATTAATTTGGTGCAGTGATAGAAAAACCAAGACCATGCATAATTGTTACCTGGTAGACTGATGATGTGAGCTCTGAAACTAGAAAGCTTGGGTTTGGAGTTGAGCATCACCGGCTGTGTGACACTGGACAACTTACTTCTCAGTGCTCAGTTTTCTGATCTGTATAATGGGAATCATAATCACCTATCTCCTATGGTAGCTGTTAGGATTAAATGAGTTGACAGATGTAAAGGGCTTAGAACAGTGCCTGGTACATAAAACTAACTAAGTGTTGGCAGTATTTACTGTTGTTAGGGTGCTGGTTAATCATGATTACTATTATCATCAACATTCTCACAACCATCCTCCTACAAAACATGGCCCACTCAGGCTTTAGGATTTAGCAGAGGTAAAGCCACAAGTTGAATCTCTCCAGTAAGATTCTGCCAGGATTTGTTGTTGTTCAGTTGCTAAGTTGTATCTGACTCTTTGCGACCCCATGCACTGCAGCATGTCAGGCTTCCCTGTCCTTCACTATCCCAGAGTTTGCTCAGATTCATGTCCACTGAGTTGATGATGCTACCTAACCATCTCATCCTCTGCCATCCTCTTCTCCTTTTGCCTTCAGTCTTTCTCAACATCAGGGTCTTTTCCAATGAGTCATCTCTTCACATCAGGTGGCCAAAGTATTGGGGCTTCAACTTTAGCATCAATCCTTCCAATGAATATTCAGGGTTGATTTCCTTTAGGATTGACTGGTTTGATCTCCTTGATGTCCAAGGGACTCTCAATAGTCTTCTCCAGCACTACAATTCGAAAGCATCAATTCGGTGCTTAGCCTTCTTTATGGTCCAACTCTCACAACCATACATGACTACTGGAAAGACCATAGCTTTGACTACACAGACCTTTGTCGACAGAGTGATATCTCTGCCTTTTAATATAGTGTCTAGGTTTGTCAAAGCTTTCCTTCCAAGGAGCAAGCGTCTTTTAACTTCATGGCTGTAGTCACTGTCCACAGTGATTTTGGAGCCCAAGAAAATAAAGTTTTTCACTGTTTCCACTTTTTCCCCATCTGTTTGCTATGAAGTGATGGGACTTGATGCCATGATCTTAGGTTTTTGAATATTGAGTTTTAAGCCAGTTTTTTCACTCTCCTCATCAACAGGCTCCTTAGTTCCTCTTCTGCCATTAGAGTGGTATCATCTGCATATCTGAGGTTATTGATATTTCCCCTGGCAATCTTGATTCCAGCTTGTGATTCATCCAGCCTGGCATATTGCATGATGTACTTTGCATTTAAGTTAAAGAAACAGTGTGACAATATATAGCCTTGCCATACTCCTTTCCCAATTTTGAACCAATCAGTTGTTCCATGTCTGGTTCTAACTGTTGCTTCTTGATCTGCATACAGGTTTCTCAGAAGGCAGGTAAGGTGGTCTGGTATTCCCATCTCTTTAAGAATTTTCCACAGTTTGTTTAGATCTACACTGTCAAAGGCTTTTACATAGTGAATAAAGCAGAAATAGATGCTTTTCCTGGAATTCTCTTGCTTTCTCTATGATCCAACGAATGTTGGTCTCTGGTTTCTCTGCCTTTTCTAAACCCAGCTTGTACATCTGGAAGTTCTCAGTTCATGCACTGCTGAAGCCTAGCTTGAAGGATTTTGAGCATAACCTTACTTGCGAAATGAGCATAATTATATGGGGGTTTGAACATTCTTTGGCATTGCCCTTCTTTGGGATGGGATGAAAACTGACCTTTTCCAGTCCTGTGGCCACTGCTGAGTTTTCCAAATTTAATGGCATATTGAATGCAGCACTTTCACAGCATCATCTTTTAGGATTTTAAATAGCTCAGCTAGAATTTATTGCCTCCACTAGCCTTGTTTGTAGTAATGCTCCCTAAGGCTCATTTGACTTCAGACTCCAGGATGTCAGGCTCTAGGTGAGTGATCACACCATCATGATTATCTGGCTTGTAAATACCCTTTTTGAATAGTTCTGCTGTGTATTCTTGCCACCTCTTTTTAATTTCTTCTGCTTCTATTAGGTCCTTACCATTTCTATTTTTCATCGTGCCCATCCTTACATGAAATATTCCTTTCATCTCTCCAATTTTCTTGAAGAGATCTCTAGTCTTTCCCATTCTAATTTTCCCCTCTACTTCTTTACACTGTTCATTATAAGAAGGCCTTCTTTTCTTGCTCTTCTCTGGAGCTCTGCATTAAGTTGGGTATATCTTTCCTTTTCTCCCTTGCTTTTTGCTTTCTTCTTTCCTCAGCCATGTGTGAAGCCTCTTTGGACAACCACTTTGCCTTCTTACATTTCTTTTTCTTAGGGATGGTTTTGGTCACTGCCTCCTGTACAATGTTATGAACCTCTGTCTATAGTTCTTCAGGCACTCTGTCTACTAGATCTAATCCCTTGAACCTATTCATCACCTCTACTGTGTAATCATAAGTGATTTGATTTAGGTCATGCCTTCCTGGTATGGCCTAGTGATTTTCCCTACTTTCTTCAAGTTAAATCTAAATTTTGCAAAAAGGAGCTGATGATCTGAGCCACAGTCAGCTCCAGGTCTTGTTTTTGATAGAGCTTCTCCATCTTCTGCTGCAAAAAATACAGTCAATCTGATTTTGGTATTGACCATTTGGTGATGTCTATGTTTAGAGTTGTGTTGTTGGAAAAGGGTGTTTGCTATGACCAGTGTATCCTCTTGACAAAACTCTGTTAGACTTTGCCCTGCTTCATTTTATATACTCTGAGGCAAACTCGCCTGTTACTTTAGGTATCTCTTGACTTCCTATTTTTGCATTCCAGTCCCCTATGATGAAAAGGATTTTTTTTTTTTTAAGGATAT